AGGAGGTCAGCCTGATAATTCAGTTACAGCCTGCATGTCTTGCTACTGCATTTAGCATAACAGAAAATGTGATGTGACACAGGTTATTTTACATACAAGTAACCACAGAATGTGAGTTCATACATGATCCCATAAAAAGCACATGGAGAGTAAAGCAGACCCTGACATCAGATGGAAAGGTGGGAACCCGAGCTGAACAGAACAGAGGGGTTGTCCTTTCTTGCTATTTTGTGAGATGCTCATGTATCCAATATAAATTGGTTCCACTGGCTATTTCTCAGGCTAGCATGCACCAAGCCATTCAATTCTGACAAAGCCCTAGATCCAAACTAGGGCCCTTATCTGCAGTTAACCAGAAGCTCAGCTCATAGCCAGTTCAAAAAGAGGACTTCCAGTACATTACAGCTCATCACACTCAATTAGCTGTCCATTTGCTTTCCTGACTCTTAAACTCAAAACAAAAAGAGCTTCTGCTTCCCAGTTCCCAGAAAAAAGTTTAATACTCTCCCCTGTGGTCTCCTGCCTCAGCACAGGTTTCCACAGCTCAGCTTGGTGCAAGCATCACAGGGAGCTGCATGTGCACAAGGATTGCAGAATTGAGACCTGATACTTTATTAGCAGAAGAACTTATAGTCCACAAATGGATGTCCTTCTACATCAAATATTGAAGAATTGAAACCTGGTACTTTATTACCTGAAGCATTAATAGTCCACAAATGGAGGTCCTTCTACATCAAATACAAAAGGCTTTGCAGAGGGGAAGCAGAGATATAGGCGTGAAAACTTATTTTCTCCCTCATTGTAAACATCTCATCTCCACATAATGCAAGCATTCCTCTCTGCCCTTTCTAGAGCACTCCAAGCATAATGAATTGCAACTTCTTGTTTCACACACTGATCTTTATTCCATTTAAAGCTTTTGCTTCAGAGCTTTGTGGTTAGAGAGTAAACAAATAAAAGGCAATCTGAAAGCTGCCATTTCTGACCCATATTCACCTCAAATGTTGAACTAAAAATTGCCCCCAGGCCAATACACAGACGCTCACTTCGGACACTTTGATAAATACACCCAGTTGCCTCCCGAAAGGTCAGTATGAAGATACTGGTTTGTTATTTCACGTAGTGGGTGATAAAGTTAGTCTCGCAACTACAGCACTGAACCAAAATGCAAGAGCTTTGGATTTGATTTTTCATGCTCAATTTCACAGTCCCCTGTTATGTTCCGAAGTTGGTCATTGCTCCTGCTACCACTTGTCTGTTTTGTCCATTTGGACTTCATCTTTTGAGGGACAGAGATATGCACAGACTTCTAGGTCTTGCTCATAAGTGCCCCTAAACTAAGCCAAAACTGGAACAATTCTGGACATATAAAGCACTATATGACTTGCTCACTCTGAATTTTTCCTTAAAACAATAAATTCATTTTGCATATTGGTTTTTGAATTGAATGCTAATATCACTTTCATTTAGAAATGTGCAGACAACTCCTTATCTGACAGTACTAAAAACTGTCAATTTAGCAACAAAACTTTGTGTGGCGGCAGTCCGAGTAATATGTTTTCAGTTTCTGCCTTAGTTGATCTGCCTTCACAGTAGACAAACAACCTCTTTGAATCTCATGAAAACAGTGCTGAATACAGCAGCTCAGATATTACAAATAATGTCCTATTTGAATAGCTAGCATTTCTGATACATCAGACACATTTTCTGTCATATAAAATATGCTCACTTATAGGAAAAATCTGTATCAAACATCATTTCAGACTACACATCCCTAAATATAGATTTTTCCATTTATAACTGGTCTGTCAGATGGAACTGACATTTATTTTAGTAAGCTCATGTTTCAGCTCTACTATAAGATGCAAAGAATCACATTTTTCCCTGTGCACAAGTGAAATCAGCAAAAGGCCTGTAGGCACATCTGAAAACAGCATTTGATCTCTCATTTATTGGAATACAGTACATAAAAAGCCTTATCTTACTACACTAAACATATTGGGAAGATTTCTATTGCAAAGAAAACAGGAATAGATCCCAACTAGTAAGACACTAGCTAGCAGAATGGCTGATTGCAGATCAGCTTTGGGGCACATTTTGAGGGGAAGTTGCATTTGGGAGCACTTCTGCTTTTATACCAAGGAAACATTCCCATGTACAATGGAAAGGCTTACAAATCTTTAACACTTGAGAGCAAATGCATTGTTAGACATATTTTTATGCATGTGTTTACCTATATATGTTTTACAAAGCTCAGAATAAGACAGTTAGACACTTATATTATGCTATTATGCATACATATTACTCATACACCAACACAAGCTTGGATCCTGAAGTTTCATACACTTTATATGGACAAGACTTGGTTGATTTGAAGACCCTACACTGTGACAAGACAGGTATGATACTATCATGAAGAGGTGGACACAAAACAGAGCTTCTAATTTCAAGAAGAAAAAAAAGAAAAGAAAAAAAGAGAAAAAGAATTATTTTATTTAAAAATGTATTCTTCATGGAGAAAAATGATTAGTGAATCTAAAATAGCTTTAAAGAACACCATTTTAAAGTACAAATGAGATATGCTGAAGCTCAGTGACTTTTTAAATAGATTTTGAAATCACTTTAGTGCCTGTCATTGCACTGGAGACAGCAGTCTCTTATTTCTTTATAAAAGCAGGCAGAGCGCTACAAGTCCTAGTCAGACTTCCACACTAGCACTTTATGCCTGTGCCTTTATTCTGGGCAGGGAAGGACACTCTATGTCCAGGGAAGATCGAGTTCATTTCTTGTTGCTATACCAAGCAGCTTTGCTTTGCTTTGAACTGTGTGACCAGCATCTCTAAAATACACAGGGCACAGGGCTAGCGAGCAGCCACCCATCTGCTTCACAGAAGCTACCAAAGAGCCACCTCATGGTAACAGCTTCTGGTCTAGAAGGCATTCGACTCAGAAACTTGGAGGACTGGGTCTTCAGAGGCTGCTAACCTGAGCGATGCTGCGGCTGACCTCTCATGGGCAAACACCTATGGACAGCTCCAAACTGCCTGGCTTGTAAACTACCATAGACCAAAGCAGAAGCCTGTTGGAAAGGGAGTCTTGATTCAAGCAGAGTACAAGGATGTCTTCACAGAGGGCAATATCAAAGCACACCAAGTGTGTTGCCTTCCTTCTGTTGGAGTGAAAGCAGCTGCTGTGTTAGACCTTACTACATAAACATCACGAGCAGCAAGAGCCTTGGGCTCTCTACAGCAACTGCAACTTCCTCCCTGAAAGGGAACGGCCACACAGTGGCAGTGTTCACTGACGCCGGTGTGCATGAGACAGCTGCCACAGCAGGAAATTCTGTTTTAGCCCATTTTGCAGCCCTCTCATAAGCAGCATTTTCCATCTGGAAATCCCCAAAACATACTTTGCAGAAGTGTGATATCTTTTTCACTGATTTAAATCACTCCATTATCTCTAAAGCTTGCCGCAGTGCTTGTGTTTTATTTTCAGAATATAATCCAGCCTAAAAAAATGACATAGCAGCGACAAATCAAACCACAGAAATGTAAAAAATTAGGATGGACAGCAGTTTAGATGAGCTGGGCAGGGGGCCTTGCCCTAGCAGACAGATCTGCCACGCTCTCCTGGCTGCACACAATCACATCCATCTGTAACGATGGAACCGAGCCCGCTACAGCCCATCGTTCTGCTTCTAGCTCAAGCGCACAGTGCAGGCTTTGGTTTCAGTAGGCAGCCTGCATAGCACTGTATCTGTACACTGAATCTATAACTTCTGTTCTCTATATGGAAAATATTGCAAGACTTTTCATTGCAGAAAAAACACAAACAATTAGTAACTGTAGACTCCAAAAAGGAGAACAGATCCTTTGAACAGGAAAGGGACAGGGGATGAACATCAGCATGTTCAGCTTAATTTCTGGCGGTCAACAAAACTGTACTGAACTTCTGTGTGTGCCCACAGACACCTGCAAATATACCTCAGTAATGACCACTTTGTCTTTCATTAGACACCAATCAACACATACCGTATATTCTTAGGAATGATAATGTAGTAAAAAATAGTATTCATATATATTTCCATGTGATAAATTTGTCAAAAACAATGATAGGTATTTAGCAATAGAAAAGAACGCCGCTGTAAAACACCATTATTTCACAGCAGCCTATATGCAACTGATTGCCATCACTGTGAGCCCAACCCTGCAAACGTTTGTTTGGGAAAGCAGGAAGAAGTGTGGCAATTGCTGGGTGATCTCAGCCTGCCTCAGATGACTCTCAGCTGCAGGGTGAGTGTAGGGCTTTCGTTAAGCACAGACAGTAACATCCGATTGTTTCCCTTCTTCCATAGGTACCTACTAACACATGCCTGTGCCAAGGTAAGTGGCAGTGGCCAAGAGGGAACGTACACCCCATCAAAAACAGCCCTGAATCCCTTTAGATATTCTTGCAATGCAGAATTTTAGGACCCTGTGCCCTTTACACCAGACTCCAGTGTCACTCACGAAATTAGTTTTTCATGGGTAGTTCAGAATTTAGTAATGATGCATTCATATTTTTTTCTTAAAACAGCATTACCTTGAGTTCCAATAGACAATCATTACCATGATACTTGCTGTTTGCAAACTATTAAATAGAATTCCAAATTCTTGTAGCACTCGCACTTAAAAGGCAGAGCTCATTACGCAGCCATTGACATTTTATACTACCTCTCCCCTAGACCGGATGCTGCTCTGCATGGAGCCATGAGCCTGTCCACAGAGATCAGCTTGTGTAACCACTTACTGATTTAAATTCTCTGCAAAGCAACCATGACATTTTGCTTACTTCAGGTTGCAACTCTCTTAAATAAAACACCGCGTTTGAGAGCCGCGGGGAGTGCTGTGGAAGCAAGGCACCATGCACTGCCTGCCCATGGGAGGAAAGCTAGCACCGATGCTGCTGCCAGGAAGGGGTCCCTGCCCCCGCACGGCCCCGCTGCCCCGCGCCCACCCTACCTGACCCGTGCTGCTGGCGCAGGATGGCGGCCTGACCCGGTGGCGGCGAGGCCGAGGCTGCGCCGTTCCCGGCCGTGGCGGTGGTG